GCAAACACATCACCGCAGTGCCTCCTCTCCCTCAATCACCAACCCACCTGCACCCCCAAATACAAATGTCCGTTACAATCCCACTACCCCATACCTCACCCCCACCTTACTCACCCAAAAAAAAACCCCCCCCCTTAGGACCAACACAAACCCACCACACCTCACCCCCCGAGGCTTAGAACAACCCGCTTCGCAAGCCACCCTCTCCAAAACCACCTGCCTCATCCTCACCGGCCTCCCACTCTTCCTAATCCCAGTCCTCGTCCTCACCATGTGCTACTTCTACATCGAGCACCTCTTCGCCCGCCGCGCCGTCAACGACCAGTACGGCGAATGGCGCCAGACGCATCGCGAGGTTCAAGACGCGAGAGCGCTTGAAGCGCTGGAGAGGAAGATTAAGGCTGAGGGGTGCGGTGGTGATGATGATGTGAGTACCGGCGAGTTCAGGAGGAATCATTTGTTGAGGAGGTATCGCGAGATTCAGAATTCTTATGAGGAGAGGGGACGCGAGGAGGAGAGGATTGGGGAGGGGAGGGCGGAGTGAGTGAGGGAGTGGGTGGGGGGATGGGGAGGAGTTGGGGGTTTTTGGGGTGTTTGGGGTTTGGGGAGAGTGTGATGTCTTTTTATTGTGATGTATGTGTTATGGGTTGGATTAATTAATACGAAAGCAGTGCCGAGTATACAGTTGGGAGTTGATGTGTCCCTTACATGACAGTGGAAGTTGTACTTAAGGAAAAAGATAACATAACCTCAAGTGCCAACATACTAAGTAACCTCTAGATCTACTATTTAAATACTTATAGTGTTCTAAAATATATAATAAATATTTCTAGAGATATGATATAAAGAGTATTAGCTTACTTACGTATAGTATAAAAAAAATCTACCGTGGTTAAGTCTAACTTCCACTGTCTTCTAAGAGTGTGTCTGGATGACAAGGGTCGCGACTTTCTCCGCCAATCGACCAATCACAGCCCATCATAGGTCCGGTCCGCTAGGCTAAACTTCACGTCTTCTCTCCTGCAACGCAACCCATCAAGACTTTTTCCCAACACCAACACCAAGCGTCACCACTGCCGGTACAATCATCAGCCATGCGTAGAGCAAGTGTTTTAAAGGTCAGTACCACGCCAATCCAAACAATTCCCTTCTCCATTTCATGTCCATTTTTCTCATCGACCATACGTATAGGTCCCCTCTAGGACAAGGGAGATTTGCGTTTTTTGCGCCGCCACCATCCGTCAAAGTTCATCCCAACGGCGACATCTCACTTCATCTAGCAAGGCACCGCAGTCTGCTGCTGAAGCGCAGGTCCATAAACCGGAAGATGCACCGGCACCGCCTCGCCGTCTGACGCAGGCGGAGAGGATGAGGAAGATGCTTGAGGCTCAGATGGCAAAGCAACAACCAACACATCCGGCCCCGAGGAGTCCTGTTGCGAACGGTGGGCATAATCGAGGACAGACGAATTTCCCTTCGAATGGCTATGGCTCGCAGCGGCAGCCTCCTGTGAGACAACCACTCCCACAACGCAGGCCCCCGAGCAACACCTTCGGCGGTCCTGGCCGCAATGATAATCGGGAACGGTTTGCTTCTGGCCCGGCGAGACGATCCAACAACTATGAGTCACTGCTGGGGCGAAGGGAACCGCTTCCAAATGAGGGTGGGATCCCACCGCGCTACCCTGGATTGAACAAGCGGGCGGAAGCAGATAAATCTGCTCCATGGGGCGCAGCTGAGTTTGGTACTGGCCAATTGCCACGGAAGAATGCGCCCGAGGGTGGCTCCACTGGAGCGGGTAGGGGCTTGAATCAGGAGAATCAGAACGAGAGAACGACGACTACCCCTTTCAAACCCCAGCGATTGGATCAGGCGGAACTTGATGAGCTCCTAGGAACGGTTGAACGAGCTCACCGCGCGTATACCCCTCTGTCACGCGAACTTCGACCACAATGTATGCACTGCGGACGGGAAGATCACCTCAGTAGGGAGTGCCCTACGAAACCGGTGCTTCGGGAAGAACCACAGGATGAGGATATCGTGGACGAGTTCTCTCCAAGTATGGAGAGGAGAAGGGCGAAGTTTGCCATGGATGACTCGCCGAAAGAGGTTTCGAACCGCTATGAGCAGCCCGAGAGACGTCGCCGGAATGTCGAACGACGCACTCGACGCGTGACGCGCTATGACGACGAAGAAGAGGATGGCTATATGGACAAGGCGGAAATGAAACGGCGCCGCAAAGAGGAGAGGAAGAGATTGCTGGAAGCGGAGAAGGCCGCGGCTGCCCCGACACCCATCTCTCTACCCGAGTTCATCAGTGTCGCGAATCTGGCCGCTCTTCTTCGGGTTCGTGTGGACGAGTTTGTGTACAAGCTGGAAGAGCTGGGGTTCGAGGAGGTTCAGACGGATCATATTCTCAACTCTGAGCATGCCGGTCTGATTGCGCAAGAGTACAACTTTGAGCCTATTGTGCAAACCGAGGATGAGGATCTTCACGCTGCTCCTCCCCTGTCCGCCGAGGAGTACGCCGAATTGCCAGCGCGGCCGCCCGTTGTTACTATTATGGGTCACGTTGATCACGGAAAGACGACTATTCTGGATTACATTCGTTCTAGCAGTGTGGCTGCATCCGAGTTTGGCGGCATCACGCAGCATATCGGTGCTTTCAGCGTACCCTTGGCATCTGGCAAGAAGATTACCTTCCTAGACACCCCCGGCCACTCTGCGTTTGAGACGATGCGCGCTCGCGGCGCCAACGTGACTGATATCGTCGTCCTCGTTGTCGCCGCCGATGATTCCGTCATGCCGCAGACGGTCGAGGCCATCAAGCACGCGCAGAATGCCAAAGTGCCCATCATTGTGGCCATCAACAAGATCGACAAGTCGCAAGCCGACCAAGAAGCCGTCAAGCTCGACCTGGGGCGTCACGGCATCGAGGTGGAAGACTTTGGCGGCGACATCCAAGCGATACCCGTCAGCGGCAAGACCGGCCAGGGCATTCCCGATCTCGAAGAAGCCATCGTCACGCTGTCGGAAATGCTCGACCACCGCGCCGACCCGCAAGCCAACGTCGAAGGCTGGGTACTCGAAGGGTCTACTAAGAAATCCGGCAAGGTCGCCACCGTCCTCGTCCGCAGCGGCACGCTCCGCGTAGGCGATATCCTCGTCGCCGGCACGACCTGGGCGCGCGTCCGCACCCTCAAGAACGAGTCGGGCGTCGCCGTCGACGAAGTCGGCCCCGGCATGCCCGTCGAAGTCGATGGCTGGCGCGAACAACCCATTGCCGGCGACGAAGTCCTGCAAGCCGTCGACGAACACCAAGGCCAGGCCGTCGCCTCGACGCGCGCCGAGCGCCTCGCCCGCGACCAAATGGCCATCGACATGGACGCCATTAACGAATCGCGCCGCCTCGACGCCGAGCGCCGCGAAGCCGAAAAGGGCTCCGCGGACGCCAAAAACGCATCCACCGTCTACCGCACCGCGACCGACGGCCCCGAACTCGTCTCCTTCATCGTCAAAGGCGACGTCTCGGGCTCCGTCGAAGCCGTCATCGACTCCATCACCTCCCTCGGCAACGCCGAAATCGCGACGCGCATCCTCCGCCACGGCGTGGGCGCGCCCTCGGAATTCGACGTCCAGCACGCCGCCGACGCGGCCGGCCACATCATCAGCTTCAACACGGCCATCCCCAACCACGTCAGCCAGCTCGCCGAGTCCAAGGGCGTCCGCATCTTCAACGAAAACATCATCTACCGCGTCGTGGAAAACGTAAAGACCATGATGGAGGACCGCTTGACCCCGCGCATCTCGCAGAGGGTCGTCGGCGAGGGCGAGATCGCCATGGTGTTTGAGATTGGCTTGGGTGGGAAGCGTAAGCTGAGGGTTGCGGGAAGCAAAGTTCGCAATGGTATCATCACTAAAGGGTCCAAAGTCAAGGTTTTTAGAAAGGGTGAGGTTGTTTATGATGGTACGTATCCCCCCTTTTATTCAAACTTCCCTACAACTTTTATCCCCCCCCTTTTTTTATTCTCTCCCCTCGTCGTCGTTGTTAGAATTGCCATCCCTGAAAGTTTAACTGAATTTTTTTTCCCCTTCTCGCTAATTTTTTTTTTGTAGGAACCATATCATCCCTCAAAAACCAAAAGAAAGACGTTGTGGAAATGCGCAAAGATTCGGAATGCGGTGTTTCGTTTGCTGGTTGGGAGGATTTTAAGGAGGGGGATAAGGTGCAGTGTTATGAGGAGGAGAGTCATAGGAGGACGTTGTAAGCGTGCGTGCGTGCGTTGTTGTCGTCGGGTGGTGTGGATGTGGAGTGGAGTAGAACGAAATGAAGATGGGGCGAGGGAGCAAGAGTGGTTCGTATGTATGTATGTGTGATGGATAAAAACACCCAATTCTTTGTATTATTATATTGTTGTACAATTCTTTTTTTTTTAGATGATTATAACAACAACATGTATAGATATATATATATATATATATACGTTTTTAACGAAAAAAAAAATCCTTAATCAAAACAGCCTTAACATACATACCTTCGAAGACACAACACAACACTACACTATTTGAATAAATATATTAGCCTCCTACTAAAAAAAATCAAAAACGATAACGAAGGGTGGGGGAAATGGTGTTTGTGTGTAGGTGTATGTATTTATGAGGATGGGAGGATAGGTAGGTAATGTAGGTAAAATAAAAGTAAGTGTATATATACATGAAAGGTCCTTGGTATTTTAAAAAAAAAAGCTTTTTATTAAGGAAAAGAAATAGTGGATAGAATATCCTGGCGTAGGACAAGTGTAGTTTGTGTAGATAGGTGCATAGATATGTAGGAGGGTAAGGTAGCGAGGCGTTACATAGCCCTTCTTTTGGTGTGTGTTGGCGCACGGAGAAAACTGTCCGGCATCACACTTCCCCAAAAAAAAAATAGAAAAAGAATTCACAACACCCCTAGAAGCCTCCCCTTCAAGGGATCATCAAAAAAGATAGCTCAGATAGCTTGCTCCGTGCCAGATTCGAACTGGCGGCCTTCGGATAACTCTGTTACAAATTGAACAGTCATATATAGAGATGATATATGAGACCGACGTGATAACCGACTACACCAACGAAGCTTTGTTTAATCAACTGATGCAAATTTTCCCTTTAAAAAGGTTCATATAGGGAAGAAAGGGTGGGGGTGGGATGGTTGAAGCGTGAGCGGTGTATGATGGTTGGTGGTGGGAAGGTGGTGGGGAAAACTTAGGGGAAAAGGGAAAAAAGCGGGGTAGGTAAAGTGGGAACGGGAATGAGGGCGGGAACGCATGCGTGGATGGAGAGGGATGGTTGGTTGGTTGGCGTGTTTTTTTGTGCGTGCGGGAAAATGGGAAAGAAGGGTTTTGATGGATGGATGGATGATTGGATGGGGGGTTAGGTTTTTTTTTCTACAGGTTTGGGGGATGGATGGGGGGGGGAGGGGGTTTTGGAGGGAGGTAGTAAAGTGTGGGGATGTTTTGATGGTGAATAGATGTACTGTTGTACAACTTGAATAAAGTTTCGTTCTGTATTTAATGGTTTATGTGGATGTGATGGCATCTTAGGTCTTCTTAAGTGTGTTTTAAAGATTGCTTGAGGGAATGGTGTTAAGGGGATTTATGAGGGGATTAGAGGGGATGTAAGGCGTTAGGATGTGGTGTACGTCTATTGTTATGTATGATGAGTATTTCCTGTGCATAAGTTTGAGAGAGGTGAGGTGTTTTTGGTGTGAAGGAGTTGTGGTGTGTGATATTGTACAAGAAGAGGAGAAGAAGGGGAAAGGAGATGGGTTTCTTCGTCAGCGGGCGTGGGACGGTCTGATTCTTTTTACAGGGTTTGCTTCCGTTATGTTCTTCAATGCAGTATCGGTTTATTACATAGGGAGTTTTCTATAGTATTCATGCTGTAGCTGTGACAGATGCGGGATGTGTAAAGGTTATATATCGAATTTTAAACGAAGCTATCCATTCCCACACTTTCATCATCCCATTACTCGTTCCCTTATCCATATATCCGTTTCTAATCGTACATGCGCGCGCGCATACCAAATCAAGGCGCCTTCTTCTTCTCGCGCAGCTTCGCACCGGCGAGGAAAACAGGCGCGATGTGCTTGCTGAGATTTAGCCCAAAGAGGCTGGCGAACCAGAGGATCGTGGTGATGGCAATAGGCGCAAGCAGTAATTCAGTGTGGTGTAAGAAGGGCAGCGCGTTGTAGCCCAGGAAGGTGATTATAAAGTAGTAGTTTGCGGCTATGAGGTAGAGCGAGTTGGAGAGGAGGGTGGACACCCTGCGGTCTTTGTTAGCTCGTGGTGAATAGCGAATGAAGGGAGAAGACGTACCAATGATCTGTGCCGACAAGCGGCATGCATAAGAATTGCACAACATATAAAAACAACCACACCGGCACAAACGCTCGAATGCTAACGTCCCAGCAGTACCCAAACTCCAGCTCTTCCTTCCCATCCCCGTCCCCCGCATTCCCGAGATCGTATAGGCCGCGACGCCGCCCGCCCGGGATGATTTTGGAATTCGGACCTAGCAAGTGCTTTATGAAAAAATAGAAGCACGTGGCGGTGAAGAGGGAAAAAAGAAGGAAGTGGACGAAAATGAAGACGAGAGATATGCGGAGGGCTTGCGGGAAGCTCGACGAGTATGCAAAGGCCCAGGCGAGCGAGGTCAGGAACTGGAAGAGCGCGAGTAGGTAGGTGAAGGACGGGTCGGGTCGATGGTATGTTTTTGACGTCTGCTTGTGGTAATATATCGAGCGGAACACCTTCTTTGGCGCTATTATCAACGACATCATCTCCCAGATGGCCATTTCGAAGTCCATTTGCGGAAACTTGAAAAGCCGCTTGAAGAAGCGCGGCATGCGGATTTCATTTCGTCTTGACGGTGTCGTCCCGCCAAAATTGGAGGGCCCGCCTGTCGGCCGCGGCAGTGATATGTGTGGGTTCATGGTCTATGGTGTGGTATTGCGGCTTTCGGATGGTAGAGTTGGAGTCGCGTCGAGAGCTCGAGGCTCCCGGACTGAAGGAGAAGTATGCGGATGCTTTCTCGAAGGAGATTCTCGGAAATTTCGAGTCGCGTGGAAAGGGTCTGCCGGATTTCCAGGTCGCAGATTAGTGAATTGAACGGTTGTGGTGGTGTGAATGCTGATGTGTACTGACAACAACTCAGGCCGAACCGAAGACGGTTGCCGCACGGCCACACTCGACCAGCCACACCAACTACCCGCGCCATGCCTATCCTGGAATAGCGGCTGAGCTAGCGGAGCTTGTCATCTTCACCTCAGAACTTCCTTTCATGGTCGCAAGCTTTCGTTTGGTGGTCGACATCATAAAGCGACGCGCTGCCCTCCTCTGCGCTTGTCCTCCATCACACATCAACCCACCATCTCGCGCACACAGGACTGTCAACCGCACAACCCTTCCCCTCCTTCCGCCCTTCTGCTGCCCTGCTCGCACGCGACCAGAGAGAGTAAAACCTCCCCTGCCTTTACATTTACCAATCCGGCTCCCGCCGCTTCTACTTATCCTGTAGCACACGATCATTACCGAATTTACCCTTCCGTCAGCAGGCGACAAGATGGCCGACGAGTACGACCCCGCCGCTGTCAGTTACTCGGCTGACGACACCGCCGCTGCGATTGATAACCCAATGGTCGGCGCAGAGGATGGCGACGAAGAAGAAGAGTACGATCCCGAAGCTCCGACGGAGATGCTCTCAGTGTCTGAACCTCCCGTCATCACCCATGAGCCTGCTGCCGATGCGCCGCCTACCGCGCCTGAGGAAGCTGCCCAGTCCCAGCCTACCGATGTCACTGCTGCGGCCCCGACGCCCACAAAGCCCCCGCGCACCAAGGGTGGGTTCGTCGACGAGAGCGAGGATGACGAGGAGGATGAGGGTCCGGTTAAGGCAGGGTCGGCGTTGTTGAAAGCGCCTGGAGTCTCGTTGTCACCAAAGCCAGAGCGTTCTGCTACCTTGTCTCCAAGTAATGCACAAAACCAACAACACAATGTCTCGTCACTTAGTGTCCAGAATGAGGGTGTCCCTGGTGTTTTGCCTTCTGCACTCGCTGTTCCTGACTCTGCTGTTTCTCAACCTGCTTCTCTTCTCTCTAATGCTGGCACCCCAGCCCCAGATGCTACTAAACCAGCTGCTCACTCACATGCCGCCCCCTCGGCTCGACAGTCTATAGCTTCCACCCCCGTCTCTTCAACACTGCCCAAGCCCCGTCTTCCCCAAGACAGGGTCGGTATGTTTGAAGACCGCATTGCCGAGGACCCGCGCGGTGACATTGAAGCGTGGTTAGGTCTTATCGACGAGCATCGCAAGCGTCACAAATATGCCGAGGCGCGATCTGCCTACGATGAGTTCTTCAAGGTTTTCCCTAATGCCGTACGTATAATCATCCGACTCTTACTTCGGAAGCTTCGCTAACTAGAACAGGGCGAGCAATGGGTCGAGTATGTCAACATGGAGACGGAACTTGACGATTTCACAGCAGTCGAGGCCATTTTTGGTCGCTCAATACAGGAAACACCTTACATTGCCCTCTGGTCTTCATACATTAACTACATTCGTCGCCGCAACAACTTGACCACCGATCAAACAGGTCAAGCCCGCACAATTATTGTTCAAGTTTACGAGTTCGTCTTAGATAGGGTCGGTATCGATGTGGACGCAGGTAAGATCTGGGTTGATTACCTCGAGGTGCTCAAGTCGGGCCCTGGTGTTCTGGGTGGGAGCAACTGGCAGGACCAGCAGAAGATGGATACCCTACGAAAAGTCTACCAGCGCGCTGTTGCAGTTCCTACCAATGCGACCTTGGAGATTTGGAAGGACTACGATCGCTTCGAGATGAACCTCAACAAAGCAACGGTATGCATCTGCAATTTCAGTATTAGAGTGAACCGCGGGCTAACAATGAACAGGGTCGTAAGTATATGCAGGAGAGGTCTACCCAATACATGACTGCGCGAAGCACCATTTCTGCACTGCAGGAGAACTACCTCAAGAATGTCAACCGAACGACCCTCCCTAAACTCCCACCAGCTCCTGGTTTCGATGGAGCCGATGAATACGCAAAGCAAGTGCAGGCGTGGAAGAATTGGCTACAGTACGAAAAGAGTGACCCGCTGGAGATTCGTGACGATGATACCGCTCTTTACCGGAAACGCATCCTATACTTGTACAAGAATGCCTTGATGGCTCTTCGCTTCTGGCCTGAAATGTGGTATGACGCTGCCGAATGGTGTTACCAGAATGATATGAAGGAGGATGGCGACAAATTCTTGAAAGAGGGAATCAAAGCCAACCCCGAGAGCTGCCTGCTCGCCTTCCGATGGTCTGCTCAGATCGAGGCACGGACCGACTTCGAAGATGGTGAAGCTGGTGTGATCAGCAAGGGCAAAGCAGTCCGCGAGCCTTTCAATACCGTCTTAGATGCCTTGTACGATCTCACCAACAAGGCCAAGAAGCGTGAAGAGCAGAATATCGCCCGGGCCAAGGAGGTATTCGCTGCACAGCAAGCCGCAGAGGACGCTGCTCGCGGAAATTCGAACAACGGCTCAGACGACGATGATGAGGAGGAAGCTCGGGCGGCCGAGAAGCGGCAACAGGAAAAGCAGGCGGCGTTGGATGCCCAACTCAAGGGAATCTCTAACGCTTCAAATGCCGAGATCCATATGCTCAAGCGGACTTTGTCATACGCCTGGGTAGCTCTCATGCGAGCTATGCGACGAGTGCAGGGTAAAGGAGCTCCCGGTGCAGCTGTGGGTGGTTTCCGTGGTGTCTTTGGAGAAGCACGCAAGCGAGGCAAGTTGCTCAGCGATGCATATGTTGCAAGCGCCCTCATCGAGCATCACTGTTATCAAGACCCGGCCGCAACCAAGATCTTCGATCGCGGCATGAAGCTCTTCCCCGATGACGAAAACTTTGCCTTGGAGTACATCAAGCATCTTGTTAAGCTCAATGACGCAACCAATGCTCGCGCTGTTTTCGAGACAGTCGTGACGCGCCTCACGTCCAAGCCCGAGAATGTCCACCGTGCCAAAGCTTTGTTCTCATTCTTCCACAACTACGAATCTCAGTTCGGCGA